AATTCCTAGGATACAAGGGTCATATTTATCTTTGTAGTCCCAGCACTCCACACAAAACCTAGAATGTAGTAAGTATTGTTGACCGTTAAACAACATAAGTCTGAACTGCACAGGTTCACTTAAATACGGATTTTTTTCAGTAAGTATACTAAAAATATTTTGGAGATTTGCTACAATTTGAAAAAAATTTTCTTGCCATTTACATTATTGCGAGAATACAGATATATATTACATATAACATATAACATACAAAATACATGTTAACTGTTTAGGCTATCATAAGGCTTCCGGCCAATAGAAGGCTATTAGTAGTTTCGGGGAGTCAAATTGTAACTCTGGGGGGAAATAAGTTCCCAGCCTGGGGCAAATTACCTTTGTAGATGAAATAAGACAAAGGGAAAAATAAAGTGGGAGGAATCCATTTATGGCTTACAAGCAGTCATCCACTTCTGCTCGCCTGTGTCTCTCGGAACCCAGCTACAATAACAGACCCACCAAACCTCTCTGATCCAGCTATTCCCTTGCTCCCCACCACCCTTGTAATCATCTATTGATATAGAGATGGACTTTTTCTCTCAACCCCTTGGAAACACCTATTGATATGGAGATTCACTAAGTACAAGCAAGAGATTCTGAAAATATTGCGATTTTACCCACAGCCCAACCCTCCAGAAATCTCGCCTCACAATATACTCACTACCCATCTTCTGCAATGGCCCCTGTGCAAGCTGCGTCCTAGCTTCAATAACTCCTCTTTGGTTTGCACATACAGTACAGGACAGGCAGCAATGTGTGTTAGCATATCTATAGGGCTCAAGGCTCCTTTTGGGGGCTTCTCATTCAAATGCTGCAGCACTATCCTTAAGTGAACTGACCAGCCCCATAGACTATTAGTGTCCGACTTCAGGCCAGATTTTAACAAACCCTTGTGCCTCTGTATCATGCCTGCCCCGGTAGGGTTATATGAAACTTCCAATTTATTCCTAACTGCTGCACCCATTCTTGTAAGGCATATCCAGGGAAGTGGGTGCCTAGATCGCTCTCAATCACCTGCAGCCGGCCACAGGCTGCAAAGAGATGCTCTAGGCCCCTTTTAGTGGTTTGCTGATCTGCATGACATGCAGGAAAAGCAACCAATAGTCCAGTAGCCAGGACCACACAAGTCGTGGCATAACGATACCCTTCTGATATCACCTGACAAGGGTAATTGGCCCCATGTTGCTGAGGGACTTGGTGTAGTTCTCTCTTAGAGCACCCAAGGCACTCATTCCAGGCACTGCTGATTTCTTCAAAGGTCAATGGCAAGCCCCACTGACAGGCTACAGCTGTCAGGGCACAAAACTACAGGGGAGGGCTCCTGAGCAATCAAGTGCCATACAGCCCACAACGCACCCCATTGGCTGCTCTTCCCCTCTCCATCTTCCATCCGCATTGTCTCAGACTTAGGATGGAAACCCATAGCCCTCCACTTCAGGGGCTGCACACAACTGGAGCTGACTGTACACCAAGCATCTAAAGGTATAGGGGCTTTTCCCTCCTTATAGGGACTCTCAGCTACCGGTGGCTTAAAAGCAAGTTCTTCCTGCTTTCCACTGGTGTATGTCACTGGCCCCAATAAGCTTTGGAGTTCTCCACTTAACAGTCTAGTGGAGAGGGCACTATGCTGCTAGAAGTATGCACCCCATTTAGCCAGTATAGGCAGCTGTACCATGCCACTCCATGGCCTTTGGGTCCACTGTCAAACTCACCCCACGATGGGAGAGGTGGTTACTACCTTGGCTGGAGCTATTCTGGTGATGGGCTCCATAGCCAGGAAAGCATGGTACACAGCACTCAGTTGTTTCTCTATCAAGGTGTACTGGGCCTCAACTCTATTCCATAGTTGTGACCAGAGTCCAATAGTTTTGTGTGTCCATTCAATCCGCTGCCAAATGCTCCATCCATAACCATCTTCTGTTACGTGAACATCTAGCTCAGAGGGCTTTGATGAGTCCATTACACGCAAGGCCTGTATGGCCCTGATTGCTCTCTTAGCAGCAGTAAAAGCAGCTGCACATGTCTCATCCCAGTCTCACCTGATGCCCTTTCATACCATCTGGTATAAGGGCTTCAGAATTTGTGCCTAGTGTGGGATAAACACTCTCCAGTAGCCCAAAAGGCCCCAAAACTATTGTCATACTACTGCAGTGGTAGGGGTAAGGAAAGCCTGGGACTTGTCTATCACTGCTTCTGGAATACTTAAGTTTTACCCAACCAGACAACCCCCAAGAGCTTTACTGACAAGCCAGGTCCCTGAACCCTGACGCTGTTCACAGCCCATCCTTTCTCCTGTAGATGTTGCAGCAGTCTAGGAACTGCCCCTTCTAAATCTGAAAGAGAATCAGATGTAACCATAATGTTGTCAATGTAGTGACACAGCCACACTGTTTGCCATTTCTTCATGTGGCCAAGTCCTGGGCTACTAATCTGTGACATATATTGGGACTGTGGAGGTAACCCTGTGGAAGGACAGTGAATGTCCATCACTGGCCTTCCCATATGAAGGCAAACTGTTCCTGACTTTCCTGTGCTATGTCAATAAAGAAAGCATTAGCAAGGTCCACAACATAATGATACGTCCTTAGGTCATGACTGAGGGTATCCATAAGGGCTGCTACAGATGGGACAAAGGCATGCAAAGGAGGTGTGACTTTATTCAATTTCCTGTAGTCTGTGGTCATATGCCAAAAGCCATCTGGATTTTTCACTGGCCACACTGGGGAATTAAAAGGATTTAATTTATGATGGGCTTTATGATACATACCTCTTCCAACTCCAATTTCCTTGCAGGCAATTTATACTGCTTAGTATTTGTCACCTGCTGAGGTACAGGTAGAACTACAAGAGGGTGCATAGCATGTCCCCTCAGAACTGCCTTTACCACACGTACCCTCAGTCTGAACTCACCTGCAGTGGTCTGTAACCAAGGCCCTGCAGGATATCTACCCCCAAAATATATTCAGGGATGGGAGAAATGTACACCGTACAACTCTTTTGGGGTAAATTCCCTATCTCCAATGGGATTTGGGCTTTCTTCCCTCTAATTTCCTAATCACCATAGCCTTCTATCACAGCAGGGGTCCCAGGAAAACATTCAGGGTTGCCATAAATCAGAGGACATTCAGCTCTTGTGTCCACCAGCATCAGGACACACTGTACAGTCTCAGAGAACCAATGAATTGCTAATTCTACATGTGGCCTCTGGTCCCACCCATATCTCCCAAGGTGGAGACCTGGACCCCACCCCCCCCACTCAAACCACAATGCCCAATCATCCTCCTGTGGGGGTGAGGGCCCAGGTGGAGCCAGAGTACTATCACCCATGAAGTCTTGCCGGGACACATGCTAGACATGGGTCTTTGCCTCCAGCTTCTGTGTGCTGGGTCTCAGCAGCTGCAACTGCAGCTCTGGCTTTAATTGGTGTCACAGTTCTAAAAAGGGATTATTGGTCTGCCCATCAAGTTTTTCTATCACTACTTCTGCCTTTATCAAATCAACTGACATCTAGGTCCTCAAGACCTTCACAGGGCCCTTTGCACCTCTCCTTTCAAGCTTAGCTCAAACTTCCTTATGAGCTCTCATTGTTTCAACCTCCCTGAGATGTGCTAAAGTATGAGTAGCCTCACTTATGGGTTGCTCTATGTGGGGGGCAATATATACTGGTCCATATATACTCTTGCTCCCCACACCCTTGTTATCATCTATTGAAATGGTGATGGACTAATTCTCTCAGCCTCTTGGAAACACCTATAGATACAGAGATGCATTAAGGCCAGGTGAGAGATTCTGAAAGTATTCTAATTTTATCCAAATTATGTATGGATTTTGGGCTGCACAGGGAGGGGGTATTAGTGTCCTTATCTTTGCTTTATTCAAGCACCAACTGTACTCAATAAATGATTTATGAATGAATGAATGAGGTACTAATCATTGGTGCAGTACAGAGGACAGGACTATCAATATGTGTGTGTATGAGGAAATGTGCAGTCATTAGTGTCTAACCCAGCAGACCTACCTGATTTTTTCTTCTTATGCCTCTCTAGACCTCAAAGAAGCGTAAACTGAACAAGATCCAGAAATTCACATGTCAGAAATATCTTATCCTTCATTTTACAGCTCAAGCTAATGAAAAATCAACTACAGATCTGCTTAAAAACTCAAGCCTTCATCACCCTATTTCCCAGAAATCCCTTGCCTATTCTGAGAAAACCCCACCTAACCCAGTGAACAGCCTTCTATTCACCTCTGATCCAGCTCCAGCTCTAAGACCACCCAACCCAAACCCCACGGTGCTCTTGCCTCTGGAGCACTCCCTGAGTGTGTGCTTTCCTTTATTAAATTACTCTTTCCTTAAAAAAAAGAATAATAAATAGATAAATAAATAAAACTCTCACCTCTAACAGAAGGTAGACAGAGGGAGGCTGAAAAAAACATGTACATGAAAGAAATGTGCCTAATCTTTCCAGCATCTGCACTTCCAGAGAGCTGTGAACAGCTCCATAATTCTTTCCACAATTCCTTTCCTAATCTTCTTTTGTGCAAAGTTAAAAGTATCAGGAAAGAAGCCTGCTGACAATGGAGAATGGAGAGTAAGTAAGACCCTGAGTTTGATGCAGGAAGTTTTGATGAGTTTTTTCCCTACCAGACACTGCCTAGACTCCTCAGGAGCAAAGGATATGTATGCTGACCTATTTTCCCCACTCCAACTCCCTAGTACCATGGTTCTGACTCCCCTTCCCAATGGCTTAATCTACTACATGGTGAAGGCAGCATAGTATACGGTTTTCAACTAAACAAAACACAACTTGAGACCCAGATTTAGTTTGAGCTCTATCACTAATGAGCTTGTGATCTTGGGCATGACTTCACCTCTGCTTCCTTATTTGCAAAATAAGGGGGTTGAACTAGGTGATGTCAGTAGTCATGATGTTCACAGATTGCTCACTCCTCCCTCCAGTTCCACAGTGGGAAGGAAATGTCAGGATGGGCTGCACTGAAGCTAACCTGAGAGAGTAAGTAAAACTCATCTCCACTCTCTATTCTTTCTCTCTTCAGACTATCCTACTATAAGCTCTTTAAAAGTCAGGCCTAAGATGCCTGGAACTGTTTCACATCCCTCACTCTAAGAGCTGCCTCTGAGTAAGTCTCTCTTCTTACTGGTTTCCTTACCAGTCCTTTAAGAGCACTTCAGTTACACTGACATGCTCTGCTGCACCCAGCTCCTCAGGACTCTCTGCGGGATGGGCCACAAGACATACACTCTGGTCAATACAAACGAGGCTTCGACAGACCATCCGAGACCTGGAAAGCGTAAGGTAAGGGAATGAAGTTCCTGGGTGTGGATTAAAAGGGTACGGCTTTTAAACAGCAGAAAGGAAGGGAGTGAAGGTGGAGGGTGAGAGGGAATCTGTGGGGAGAGGGACAGAGAAAGAGGACAGACAGTTATCCAGTTTGGAGAGTTGGGGAAAGTTCTGGGCTCAAAGGCAGTTTGCAGATCATTTCTTATTGGAATGGAGACAAATTTTTCCACCCTTTGTCCTGGTAGAGGAATTCCTTCCAAAAGTGAGGGATGTTGGAGAAAGCATCCTTTATTGTTGTCATTCTCCCTCAGGCCAAAATAGTTCATCCTGGAAATAGTTGGTGGCTTCTCCCTTTCCTGCCTCAGAGCAAAATGGAAACTTTTCTCTTTACTTCTTAGATCCAGTCTTCAGGAATTGTTTTCACTTGAACCACAGGGTATGACTTCTTCCTCTGCCTCCCATCTTTTTGGGGCTCAGGAGCCTGTTCTACCCTGCTGTGACTGTCAGAAGGCACAACGTTTCCCTGACCACAGCTTCTCCTCTGGATCGTCAGGAAACAACTCCAGCTTATCTCACCTTCCTGTCTCGTCTGAGGGGACAAGCTGGCAACTCCAGAGCCAGAACTCTATTCTGCCCCAAAAGCAACCTCCTGGGTTCAGGAGCCAGGGCACATCCCTGCCTTCTTCTCAGCACTCAGAGTTTGGGAAATCAAAACTCCTTCAGGCTCTGGAAGCTCTTTCATCCTCAAGACCTCAACACACTTTTATCAAAACTGCTTTTGAATCCCCAAATCTCTGCAAACAAAAGAAATCAAAGGGTGAGAGAAGGAGCAAGGGTCATTTGACATCAGATCATGGGCAAAGTTCTATTTCCAAGGACAGGCCACAATTCCCACGATGGGCTCTGAATAGGCTCTCTCCTTTTGCTAGGAGGGAGTTAGAGGAACACATGGCTTGGAAGGTTTATACTTTGTGGAAACAAACTGTGCCTCTGCGAGTGAGGAAATCATGGGCGATGGTTCACGATCTCACTGAGGTACAAGGAGGAGAGTCCCTGAACCGGAGAAACCCCCACTCTTGCTACTGATGCCCATGAATCAAAGCACCGAGCAAAGTATAAACAATAGGTCCCCAGACCTTCCATCACTTCATCTCCACGAGCATATCAGAGCGGAATCTGGATTACGTGGCACAGAAACAAAACCTTCCCAGTCACTCATCCCAGGTAATGTGTCACAACCTGGGGAGGGCCCCCAAATCCTTGGATTGGGGCCCGTGGTTACATCAGTGGGTGCTCCATCGCCCAAAGGTTTAGGAGTTCACATAATTAAAGAGGAAGTCACTTTCCTGCAGAAGGATCCAAAACATAGGCTAGAGCTTAGTACAGAGCAGAGGGCCACACGTCTTCCAGAGGAAGACACAACAGCCTACGGGCCAAGTGACTGATGTGGAGTTGACCCCAAGGCGACCATACCAAGTTACAGGTGGCAGACAGGTAACTCCACTGGCACTGCGTAAAGCCGTGGATTCAATGGGGATCATCCCAGCGTCACACTCAGAACTGACAGAACCAGTGGGTTTGTTCCCACAGCCACCAAATGAACTTGTGAAACCAATGGGAGCCATGGGAACAGTGAGGGTGAGCCCACAACTATTACACCAAGTCACAGAATCAGTGGAGGCCCCCCCACGGCTTCAACAACAAGTTATGCAATTAAACACGACTCCAGGACCATCAAACCGGGTCAAAGGTAATGTGACAATAACTCCTGAAGCATTGCTTCAAGTCATGGATTGTATGGGGATGATTTAAAAACCAGATCCTTGCAGAGAATCAGTGGGAATGACCCCAAGACCAAAATACCAAGCCCTGGAGTCAGTGAAAAACAACACATTGTTGGAACATCAAGTCATAAAGCACAAGCCACATTTTCAAAATTTTTCAGAGGTGACTCCTGGGCCAGGCTATCAAGACACAGAAAATACGAGGCTGTCTTCTGATGCTCACCTCCAAGTGGTATTAACACCAAAAACAAAGGGCTCCCAGGTGAAAATATGAAATCTGTTTTGTCCACTGTGGGACCACAGTGTCACGGCGCAACATCTGTGAAACTGACTTCAGAGCTACAGTTTCAAGGTGCGAAGTCTGAGGAGGAACTGAACCTAGTGCCAGGGCAGCAAAATGTCAAGTTTTCTGATTTAACATCAGGGCCAAAATTTCAAGGTGCCACGTTCAGGCAGCAAACCCCAGGATCAATACTGCATGGGGTAGTTCTGTGGAGATGACTCCAGTGTTAGGGCTTCAAGAATCTGAAGTAGCAAAAGTGCCTCCAGGGCCTCAAGGTATGAAACAGGTGTATGAAGGGCCATGGGCACATGTCACATGGGCACAAGTTCAGCCTTGGGTCACAGCTGCAGACTGCGAAAACCCCTAAGTTGCCCTCACAACCACAGCTGAAGAAAGGGAAATTGCTGGTGCCAACCTCAGTGCCACAGCTTCAAGGTACAAAAACTGTGGAGTGGATTCAATGGTCACAGCTTGGAGGGATGAGATCTATTCAGTGGAGGCCTGTATCAGAGTTGCAAGGTGTGAAATCTCTGCCAAATGTTGGGCTACAGTCACAATGTGCCAAACCAGCATAGTCGAAACCTTTGATACACTTCAGAGATATGCGGTCATCTGTGTTGACTCCAAGTCCAAAGCTCCGAGGGCTACAGTCTTTGGCATCTCTCCAATAATGTCAGCCTCAGGGCTTCCATTTGAAACTTGTCTACAGTTTAGAAGTATAAAATCATGTGATCTGACTTTGAGGTCAAAGCTCTGTGATACAAAATCCATGACGGTCGGATCTAGGCTTCACTTGCATGATGGGAAATCTCCTATGCTTCAAGAACTGAAACCATCACAGTCATTCCCAGGGACACAGCATCAAGGTAGGAAGTCTCTCGTGCTTTACACAAGAGCCACAGCTTCCTGAGGGGAAATTAGGGGTGTTAAACCAGGGATCACAAGTACAACGGGATAAAACTACAGATTTGAACTCCCCACTAAACTTGAAAAAGATAAAGTCACCTAAGTTGACTCTTCAGACAAAGCATCAAGGTATGAAGTTTAGAATTTCACCTCTGAGTCACAGAGGCAAGGTCTAAAATCTTCTAAGTTGCCACACACAGTCCCAAGATACAAAATTGACTGGCTTAAACCCAACTCACAGTTGCAAAGTGTAACATTTTCTAAAATAACCAGAGGAACGGGGACTGCAGGTGGCCAAAGTACAGAGGTCAACACTAAGCTGTTGTTCCAAGGTATGAAATTTTTTGAAGGAACCTCAAAGACAAAGCTTCCAGATGTAAAACAAAGAATTTAGAGACCATTCCCACTTGCAAGTTGTGAAATCCTCTGAGCTAATCCTGGGATCAAAGGTTCAAAATAAGAAATTGCTATTCAACCCTGAGCCAGAATTACAAGGGGTGACCCATCCCTTTACATTAATATCAGACACTAAGTTTGAAGAAGTGGAATCTGTGAATTTCAAACCTGGGCCACAGACAGCTGCAAGGTGTGAAATCATCTAAATTGATACTGTGGCAAAAGCTTCAAAAAGTAAAATCAGTGGAATTCAAGTCAGGCCCACAGTTGCAAGATACCAAATCTTTGACATCTTCTAGGTTGATCATGGGTAGAAAGCTTCAAGATGTAAAATCAATGAATTTCAGGTCTGGACCATGGTTTCAGGGTGAGAAATCTGAAGTGATCTCACTGATCTCAAGGAGAAAGCTTCAAAGTGTGACATCTGTAGAACTGAAACCTACTCCAAAGCTACAAGGTAAGAAATCTTCTGATTTCACATTGGGGAGGAAGTGTCCAGGTATAAAACCTGTAGAGCTGGACTGTGACACACCGCTACAAGATAGGAAATGCTCTGACCTAATCATTGGTATAATGCTTCCAGATGTGAAATCCAAAGGGTCCATTTGTAGACCACACTTTCAAGGTATGAAATCTTCTGAAGTGACCCAGGGACAAAGCTTCAAGAAGTTCAATCAGTGTTCAACCCTGGACCCCAGATAAAAAGTAAAAAAGCTTCTGCATTGACTAATGGGACAAAGCTTCTGTGAAATTCTTTGAGTTCAATCATAGTCCAAAGAGAATGATGTGAAATTCTTAGAGTTCAATCATAGTCCAAAGTTACAAGGCAGGAAGTCTTCTGATTTAACTCAGAGGAGAAAGCTTCAATGTGTGCAATCTCTGGAGTTCAACCCTAGACCACAGAGACAAGGTTGAGAAATCTGATTGGACACTACAGTGGAGGCTTCAAGATTTGAAGTCTGTTGAGTTAAAACCTGTTCCTCGGGTACAAGCTGTGACACCTTCTGAGTTAACACCAGAGACAAAGCTTCAAAGGGGACAATCTGTGGAGTTCATCACCAGGCCAGTGTGCCAAGACACAAAATCTTTGGGGTTCAATTCAGCTCTACAGTTACAAGACAGGAAATTGTCTATGTTGACACAAGGGGCAAACCATCAAGGTGTGAAATCTATGGAATTCAACCCTGAAGAAAATTTGCAAGGTACAGGGTCTCCTGCACTGAAAAAGCTTCATATAATGAACTTCACAGATGTCAGCCATGACCCAGAATTTTAGGCTGCAAAACCGTCTGAGTCAGCCTTGGAGTCAAAGGTTCACAGAGTGATATCTTCTCAGTTCAATGCTGGAAAGCAGTGGAAAGATGAGAAATCTTCTAAGTTGAACCCATGGCCAGAGCATCAGAGTGTAAAGTTTACGGGGTCCAGTCCTGGGCCTCACTTGCAACATGTAAAATCTTCAGATTATACAAAAGGACAAAGCTTCAAGATGTGAAATCTATGGAATTCAATCCTGAGCAACAGCTGCAAGATGCAAAAATCTTCCGAGTTTTGCCTGGAAATAAAGGCCTCGAGGTATGCAATCTTCACAGAGTCATCCTGGGCCACAGCTGCAAAAGATAAAATCTGAACTGAGCATGGAAAGAAGCTTCCCGATAAGCAATTTCTGGAATTCAAGCATGAGCCTAAATTTCAAGGTAGGCAGTCCTCTGAACTGAATCCACAGCCACAGCCTCAGTGTATAAATTTTACACCATTCAACACTGGGCCACAGTTGCAAGGGAAGTGCTCGGGCCTGAGCCAACAGCAAGGGGGATGGAGCACTGGGGCCCCTACAAGTGCCTGACCAGTTGGGCTGAGGGAAGCATCTTCCACCTGCCCTTTGCCTGGCCGAGAGAGCTCCGTCCAACCCCCACCACTCTGGCACCCTTCCTGCTGCTGGTAAATCTTTCAAACTGCCACCGTGTTGGGTCTCAGCAGGACCAGTGTGCCTGTCCTCCACGAGCAGTAGGCATCTTAGCCTCTCACAGTGCTCCAACTCTCACTGGTATCTAACCTCATTAATCACCAAGGCCCAATGCAATGTGGACTTGTGTTCCCAGAGCAGTTCTCCTGAGCCAGATGTGCAGAATTCCAGAACACTCATACCCTCCCTGCTCTGTTCCTCGTTCTCCCTCGTGCGGGCTGGAATAGGGAAAAGCCTTGGGTCCTGCTCCATTACAGCTCGGCCACTTTACCCTTTTCTGTGTGATCTTCTCTTTTTCACCAGATGTAGGTGGTCTGTTCTGCAGTCTTCAGGCCATTTTCTGGGGTGTGTGCAGGAGGAGGTTTCCGCCTTGCCTTCCTACTCTGCCATCTTTTTTCCCATCAGCATGTGCTATGGTTATACTCATACTCTTTTAATATATTCTGACTTACCCATTATAGTTTATAAGGAACTGGGAGACATGTTTCATCTCCAATGCAGTTCACTGGAAATACACATTGAATGGCCATCCAAGATACACAGTAGGTGTTTCTTTTCTTCTATGTAAAGATTTGAACATTATCATTAGTTTGGGCCTGATGGACTGTGGTGAGCTTGAATGGCTACCTAAGAAATGTGGGTTTTATCCTGCAGTAAAGCAGAACTGTAAGTTCTTAAGCTCAAAAATGATGTGATAAAAGTGCATTTTAGAAAAAGCAGTCCTTAGTCCACAGCTGCCAGATTTGGTAGGAAGGGAAGTGTATCATCTACAGCAAGGCAGGCAGTCAGCTTAGCATAAAGGGTTAAAAGAAAGCACTGGGTTCTCCAACACTTCTAGCTCTGTGCTGGGCCAGTTACGTGACTTCCTAAAACCTTCATTTCCTTTTTCTATAAAACAAAGATAATTAAACCAGAACCTACCTAACTGCAGAGAGTATTATATAAAATAGCACATACCACAATGCCTGACAAAGCACATAAGCACATTGCATTCTGACATCAACTGGGTGTCCTATAATTCAATCCAATCCCAACACTCACTACCTGGAGTTAGCATCAGATTCCCCAAGTTAAAGGGCAAGATTGCCAGTAAGACAGCCCTTGCTTCATAGGTCCCCAAGCTATCAGAATTTCTGTCCAAGTTAGCTAGAAATTCAGGTGTTCCCACAACGCTCCTTAAAGTTCAATAATTTACTAGAATGACCCACAGAACTCACTGAAAACACTACACTTAAATGCTTACAGTTTTATTATAAATAAAGGCAACTCAGGAACAGCCAAGTGGAAGATGTGTGTAGGGCAAAGTCTAGGGGGAAAGGCTGGAGGGATTTAGAGCTCCAATGCCTTTGCTCAATAAATTCACATTATTTTCCCAGCACATCAATGTGTTCAGCAACCCAGAAAAACTCCAGTGTCCCAGAGTTTATATTAAGAGCTTTCATTATATAGGTGTGATAGAACTCAATCTCCAGTCCCTCTCCCCATCCCAGAGATTAGAAGTAGTAAAGTTCCGACCCCTCTAATCAAGAGCTAATTCCTTCTGAGCGTCTAGCCTCTCCCTTGGAACTATCTAAGGGCCCACTCTGGGTGATTTCATCAGCATAAATTCAGGTATGGTTAAAAGGGGCTCATTATGAATAACAAAAGATACTCCTATTACTTGAGAAATTCCAAGGGCTTTTGAAACTATCTGGAACCAGGGACAGAGATCAGATATATTCTTTATTATGTCATACACAGAAGAAATGGAAGCTATTATTTTAGAAACCAAGTACAGCTGACCTTTGAACAACTTACAGAGTAGGGGCGCCACACCGCTATGGAGCTGAAAATCCACATATAGTAACTTTTGGCTCCCCAAAACTTAACTACTAATAGTCTACTGTTGGCTGGGGAAGCCTTACCAATAGTCTACAGTGAGTTGACACATATTTTTATTATATTCATTATATACCATATTTTTAAAATAAAACTAAAGAAAATTTGTTTTCAAATTGCCGCAAATCTTCAAAAAATTTTCCGATATATTTATTGAAAACAATCCGCACACATGTAAGGGGATCTGCACATTTAAGCCCATGTTCTTCAAGGGTCAATTGAGTAGGCTATTAAAATAATGCAGGCATAAAGACGAAAAAGGAAAAAAAAATCAAAAGCATTACGAAAGAAGGAGCCACAGAAAAAAGGGGGCAGTGTCAAAACTCAAATAGACTATGAAAATGTCAACTAAATAGAAATAGACATTTCCAGGCAGGAAACCGAGGATGGGACTGAGAATGAATTTAGTGTTAGCCAAGTTGAGACTGAAGGCAACAACCAAATGGACACCAGACAGACAAGAGAACAAGGCCAGAATCCACTGTCAGTTACCAAATAGGTAAGATCCCTAATTCCCTGTCCCTGCAAAAGCCCTCACTACTCAAAGGAGTATATTAATTAATCGTGTCCACATAATCATATACCTGAGTCAAATAAAAGCTAGCTACAGCACACCAGAAAAGCTAAGGGCTTACCTCTAGAACATATTCCATTTAATATTTTGCACTCTATGAACAAAATGGCTCCTCATTTTAACAGAGATTCAAAAAGAATCACATTACCAAATGCCAAACAGAAATGCTGGGTTTTGTTCTTTGACAGAAAAGGGCCGTTTTATTTTCTATCAACAGGAAAAACAATACATCTCCCTAACAGAAATGTCTATTTTTCAAAGAAAAGTTTATGGAACAACCATAGACCATTTCAGCCACACAACATAAACAGAACTATGATTAATTCAGAAACACTTCCTGTTCAGATACATGAAGCAGGGTAAACCACTTAAAGCATGGAAACAATTACACAGACTTACTCAAAGCTTTTACAGTCCAGCTTTTAGAAAATACATTCAATAATAGAAACTGCCCTGTTAAATTGCCCATGGTTCAGAAGGATAGCAATTTATTTTACCCATAATACACTCATCATTTCATTCTTGTGTTGCTAGCTTCCCAAGAAGAGAGTTCCAACTCATCCAGCCAGTGAAGGTGACAAATGGAGAAGAAAAGGAAAGCAAAGACACAGAATTAAAGATGACAGTGTGAGAGATGAGACAGAAACCTCTTCCCAAAACCACATATATGAAAATACAGTTAATACAACTAATCCTGAAAGAGCAACAGGAAAGAAGGCTGTGCCAGATTGCATACACCTGGAGAAAAGAACAGACCTCACAGCATGACCAAAGCCATGACCTGGCAGGACCAAGCCCTTCCCCCACCCCAGCTCAGCACAAGGAGGAAGAGAAATGGAGCAGGGAAGGGGCTGGAGGCCTAGGACTGCTGAACATGAAGCCCTGGAGATCTGCTCTGGGAGCACAAGCCTACAGTATATGGTGCTCTGGAGATTAGTGGGGCTGGAAAGCTAAGACAGGCAGAATACTTGGAGACACTGAGATTCCAGCCACTTGTGGAAAACAGGGATCCACATCCGGCCACTCTGGGACAAAAGAAAGGCGGGCAGTCTGACAGACTTCCCAACAGCAAGAGGGCTGCTAAAGGGGCAAGGACTGCACAGAGCTTGCTGCTCAGGAGAAAGGACAGGTGGACAAAATTGTCCGCGTGCACTCTGCCCAGCAGGTTGGGAACTTTCAGGAGCTTCAGGTGCTCTATCCCCCTGGCTGACTATGCAGCTGAGGCCCCCCACTGTGATATGCAGCCTGCTGTGCCTTCCTCCCAGCTGGCACCGACTTGCAAACTGGCTGCCTCTCCCTGCCCTTGCGCCAGGCCACCCAGAGGGAGGCCCTGCCTGCGACAGCATAGAGGCTTCTACCTGCACGCTCCGCCCACTGGCCCTGGCAGTGGAGACAAGCACTGCAGCCAGGAAGCCAGAAACAGCTCTTTCCTCCCCCCAGGCATGAGCACCGCTCCCCAGAGATCCCCACCATTGCTCCAGGGGCTGAGCAGCTCCAGAGAGTAGAGCTTCTGGGTACTAGAGTGCGCCACATACCAGTTAAGAAGTTCAGGGGTGCACATCTGGGCCCAAGTGGGACACACGTGGGAAAGCTGGTCTAAATAAGCTACCCAAAGTGGGATGTGGACTCCAGAAGCAGAAGATTTGTACTACATTTCCCATTCGATTTATACTAGTTTTTGGTGGATTTTCTACCATCCACCAAGAAGACTGCTAATTAATACAGAAGTACTTTTTTACTGACAGTTTTTATGTAAATGATTTATCTAACCTTTTGACTTACCTCAGCCAAGAATAAAATTCAGATGCTGAAGTCAGAACTCATTTTCAGAATAAATTCATTCCATCCCATGTCATAACCATATATATTAGAGAATAATACTAAGAAAAATTGTATCACTGACTATTTAATGGCTTTTTCATTCTAACATCAAAATACTCTATTAGTGGATAAAATTCCAAGATACACTTGGGAATATAAACATGGATGGGTTGATGATTAACGTAATGAAATCACTGTAGCAAATCAATAGTGTATGTAATCAAACTCCATGCTTTCTCAACAGTTAAAAGTTGTGACTTAACCTTTCACTTCTTTGGGATGGTGAGGCAAAACTACACTGATGCTGGTAAAGAGTAAACCTAAGAACCTGGGAGTTTACTTTAAGACTTAGACCATCAGACAGCAGCCTAGTAATCAGACTAGGAGCACTCCAACACAAATGATAATGTAAAGCAATTCTCAATGCGAACTTGGTTTTAAGAGTAGGATGGCCAAATCTTCCAGGGTTATGAGATAGCAATTTCAGGAACTTACTGCTTAAAACCCTCAACAGGTGTTCTACATTACTTCTGGTATGCAGGCAGGTGTTTTTCTGCTGTTGTTTTATGCATACAGGAGTCTTTTTTTTTTTTTTACCTTGTTTTACTTTCTTTGCAGAAAGAGCATTAGTGCTGCAATGTAGGCATTTCATCTATATTAGAAAAATCACTTCACAGTCCTTTTGGGGCTAGGAGGAAGGAAGCTCTCCACCTTTGCTAAGTGCTTTCCATTTTTTCCCTATATGGCTAGCAAGGAAAGTAAGGGCATAATAGAAAGTTAGGACTCGTAAAATAGAAAATACAGAAATTTGATTTTTCAGGAAAAATATTAGATAGGTCACCTAATTTTTTAGAGGCATTTTTTTCCCCTTCGACCCTCAAGACCATAAGCAGAGGCAACATTAAGTTCAAATAAATGGGACAATCATTCAAAATGATAAGGCCCAACAAATCAAAACAAAGATACTATAATGTAAAGTATGGATTAAAGTGATTATATGAATAATGTACTCTGATAGTCTATTAAATTTGGTTTTAAATGAACTGAAGTAGAGTTTTAACTGGAATATATGGAAGTCAATGAGTCTGTAATCTAAGAGTTTCCAAGGAGACTGCTTGTTATTCTAACAGTACAGTAATTGCTGAAAACAAATTAATCAGCCTTGTTAATCACAGATCTAATATGTATATTTTCCACAAGAGGAGTGTGGTGAAACTAATATAAATTGCTGACTTCCATTCTCACTTGGACTTCACAACACTTGGATACACAGTGGAAAACTGGTTAACTAGAAACTAACAATTAAAGTTTGATGAGGCACAAAAATCCCACGCTTTACCTGGGAAAAAAAAATAAATCTCCCCCCTTGGGCAGAACATATGAAAAACAATCGTTCCCTAATCTTTTCTATGGTCTATAGTTTATATTCCACCAGATCATACTTCCAATCATTATCACGATTAATATCTTATTTTATAACTACTACAATATGCAGGAAAACTTGTACAAGGAGTCTGCCTTCTCTTTAGACTATTATAAATACCATTAATTAGCTGAACAACATCAAATTAGGAAGGCAGAAATTTCCCTTAATTTAGACTAAGGCTATATAACCACAGGTTGAATACAGCACTGAGGGCAGCCAGCCATACCTTAAATCACAATCAGAAACCTCATCTATGATGAACCTAGGCCTCTGTCTTAAGGATTCCTGTTCAGAACGTGCTCCCTGGTGCCTTCAGGGTCTTTCACAGTAACCACAGCCTAGTCACTTGATCACACCCTTTCTTTGCAAAGCATCTGCAGATCCTTTCCCTGTAGGTGCCCCCCAAGCCATACCTTGCCTGTATCACAAGCTTCCAGATGTGAAATCCAAAGGGTCCATTTGTAGACCACACTTTCAAGGTATGAAATCTTCTGAAGTGACCCAGGGACAAAGCTTCAAGAAGTTCAATCAGTGTTCAACCCTGGACCCCAGATAAAAAGTAAAAAAGCTTCTGCATTGACTAATGGGACAAAGCTTCTGTGAAATTCTTTGAGTTCAATCATAGTCCAAAGAGAATGATGTGAAATTCTTAGAGTTCAATCATAGTCCAAAGTTACAAGGCAGGAAGTCTTCTGATTTAACTCAGAGGAGAAAGCTTCAATGTGTGCAATCTCTGGAGTTCAACCCTAGACCACAGAGACAAGGTTGAGAAATCTGATTGGACACTACAGTGGAGGCTTCAAGATTTGAAGTCTGTTGAGTTAAAACCTGTTCCTCGGGTACAAGCTGTGACACCTTCTGAGTTAACACCAGAGACAAAGCTTCAAAGGGGACAATCTGTGGAGTTCATCACCAGGCCAGTGTGCCAAGACACAAAATCTTTGGGGTTCAATTCAGCTCTACAGTTACAAGACAGGAAATTGTCTATGTTGACACAAGGGGCAAACCATCAAGGTGTGAAATCTATGGAATTCAACCCTGAAGAAAATTTGCAAGGTACAGGGTCTCCTGCACTGAAAAAGCTTCATATAATGAACTTCACAGATGTCAGCCATGACCCAGAATTTTAGGCTGCAAAACCGTCTGAGTCAGCCTTGGAGTCAAAGGTTCACAGAGTGATATCTTCTCAGTTCAATGCTGGAAAGCAGTGGAAAGATGAGAAATCTTCTAAGTTGAACCCATGGCCAGAGCATCAGAGTGTAAAGTTTACGGGGTCCAGTCCTGGGCCTCACTTGCAACATGTAAAATCTTCAGATTATACAAAAGGACAAAGCTTCAAGATGTGAAATCTATGGAATTCAATCCTGAGCAACAGCTGCAAGATGCAAAAATCTTCCGAGTTTTGCCTGGAAATAAAGGCCTCGAGGTATGCAATCTTCACAGAGTCATCCTGGGCCACAGCTGCAAAAGATAAAATCTGAACTGAGCATGGAAAGAAGCTTCCCGATAAGCAATTTCTGGAATTCAAGCATGAGCCTAAATTTCAAGGTAGGCAGTCCTCTGAACTGAATCCACAGCCACAGCCTCAGTGTATAAATTTTACACCATTCAACACTGGGCCACAGTTGCAAGGGAAGTGCTCGGGCCTGAGCCAACAGCAAGGGGGATGGAGCACTGGGGCCCCTACAAGTGCCTGACCAGTTGGGCTGAGGGAAGCATCTTCCACCTGCCCTTTGCCTGGCCGAGAGAGCTCCGTCCAACCCCCACCACTCTGGCACCCTTCCTGCTGCTGGTAAATCTTTCAAACTGCCACCGTGTTGGGTCTCAGCAGGACCAGTGTGCCTGTCCTCCACGAGCAGTAGGCATCTTAGCCTCTCACAGTGCTCCAACTCTCACTGGTATCTAACCTCATTAATCACCAAGGCCCAGTGCAATGTGGACTTGTGTTCCCAGAGCAGTTCTCCTGAGCCAGATGTGCAGAATTCCAGAACACTCATACCCTCCCTGCTCTGTTCCTCTTTCTCCCTCGTGCGGGCTGGAATAGGGAAAAGCCTTGGGTCCTGCTCCATTACAGCTCGGCCACTTTACCCTTTTCTGTGTGATCTTCTCTTTTTCACCAGATGTAGGTGGTCTGTTCTGCAGTCTTCAGGCCATTTTCTGGGGTGTGTGCAGGAGGAGGTTTCCGCCTTGCCTTCCTACTCTGCCATCTTTTTTCCCATCAGCATGTGCTATGGTTATACTCATATTCTTTTAATATATTCTGACTTACCCATTAGAGTTTATAAGGAACTGGGAGACATGTTTCATCTCCAATGCAGTTCACTGGAAATACACATTGAATGGCCATCCAAGATACACAGTAGGTGTTTCTTTTCTTCTATGTAAAGATTTGAACATTATCATTAGTTTGGGCCTGATGGACTGT